CACTGCATAAATAATCCAGTGTGACACCAGTTTAACTGTTGTGGCCCAACCCTATGTATTCTGGGAACTGTGGTTTTGTGAAATATTTAGCCTTCTCTGTCTGAGAGCTCTGGTGCCACAACAAATGACAGTTTCCAGAATTATACGGCATTGAGTCATGGCAGTTAAAGTGGTGTCAAATAGGATTATTTCTGCAGTGCGGATGCAGCCCGTGCTTGGCAAAAATCTGTGTAGGATTGCAACTTTAATTGTGAATATATCACAACCTTAAACATGTGAACCCTCTCTTCCTCACTGAGCTCCAAATGGACATCTTTGCACTTAAGCTCTTGAAAAGCAACTTGCATTCAAAAGAAGCAAAATGGAATAAACAGTTGGTGGAAGAGGACCTGTTCAGATCCAGATCATAGAGAGATTCTGTTAAGGTTTGCGGTCCAACTGGGAAGAAGGAACAGGCAAAAAGACTGGCAATTCTGATGTTCATGCTAATGAACATTTCCACCAATGACCCATCTCTATGGGCAGTCACATAGATGCAGCCCAAAATTAGGAAGAATTGTGAGCTCCTCTGAGGACAGGATTAGAATGCAAAGTGGTTGTGATAAATTTGGATAACTTGGCAGGAACAAAATGGAAATACAAAACAGTGCATGAAAGGCTAAGTGATCTCACTATTAAGAAGGACCTGAGAGTGGAAAAGATTCACTCTGCAAACTGACTGCAAGCCAGCAGCTTGATGCTCATCCACAAAAATAAAATAAAAATAATTCAAAATAATTAAGAAGGCAAGTACATTTTTGGATGTAACCAAGAAACAGGAAATCACTGTTCCACTTGAGTCAGCACTAGTCAGGCTTCCAAAACAATAAAAAAAAACAATCCCACAAAAATCCCCCCACCCAGAATCCAGTTCAAAGACTTACAACCTAAGAAAGGCATTAATAATTCAACCTCCACCCGCCCGAAACAATATTCTGCCGATATGTCAAAGGGCATATAGGAAGCATCTGTGTGGGATCTTACAAAGGAGTTACATTTCTAGGATTTTTGGCCAGACCACCATACATGGTGCATAGCTTTTTAAAGTAATGTTTCAATAACAATTTAAAAAAAAACAGCAGGAGGCTTCAGTCTGGAGTGGAAGCTTCATCAGTGGAGAGGGACAGCTTAGCTCATTTCCCTTAATCCTCATAATTTTCCACATATGGGATGAAAAGTTGTTTGGGATTCCTAGGAAAGAGAAGGACAGAGAATTCCTAAAAGGAAAGGATTCCTCCCCCTTGGCTGCTCTTCCATTTAAGACAACAACCGCCGTGAAACCCACTTGGCACATCACACTCTCTCAGCCTGTGAAGATGGTGATGACAAACCCCCTCTGAAGAAACTTGTTGTTGTTGTTGTTGTTGTTGTTGTTGTTGTTGTGTGCCTTCAAGTCATTTCTGACTTATGGCAACCCTAAGAACCTATCCTGGGGTTTTCTTGGCAAAGTTTGTTTAGAGGAGGTTTGCCATTGCCTTCCCTTAAGGGTGAGATAGTGTGACTTGGCCAAGGTTACCCAATGGGTTTCCATGGCTGAGCTGGGAATCGAATCCTGGTCTCTGGAGTCACAGTCCAACACTCAAACCACTGGGCTACACTGGCTTTTAGGGTAGCCATAACTCAGAAATGACTTGAAGGTACACAACATCAACAACAGAGAGCTGTATCACATGGAGGAAAATTGGAAGTTTAAACTTGGTTTATCCTGTGAAAATCCCGCAATTACTATTAAATCGCAATTAAGATTTTCAGACACAGCGCGATAAAAGAGCCATTACCCCAGGAATAACCAGACAAGAAAAAGCAAGAAAGCATTTTCAGGATTTTCCTGTGATTATCTATTGCTGTTTATTGCCTGGTTATTCACAGGTTAAGGCCACTTTAATTGCTTTTCAAGACGATGTCATGTGAAAAGCTTTAGCGCAATTGCGGGATATTCCTGGGATATTCCTGGGGATAATGGCTGTTTAATCACAAAGTCATGTGAAAATCTTAACTGTGAATGCACGATTTTCATGGGATAATCCCCGTTTATACTTCCATTGTCCTCGTGTGATAAAGTCCAGAGTCACTTTTATGTTTAAAATGGGTTAGGAATCACATATAAGTAACTATCACACAGAGTAGAGCCATAAAATGCAGAATACTCCAAGTTTGAAATGGGAGAGATTTCTGATCCAGTTCTTACCTGAGCTGCCCAAGTGACCTTTAGACACTATGAAGTGTGAATGCTGGTGTCCATGTGAGTCATTTGGCTTAACTGAATAGCCTTGGGAGTCTGCCAAATACCCATTTTAGAAGCTAGGTCCAGTTACTCAACAGTAGGCAGTAGGGTAGGGCAAAGTGTGTTAACTATATGTATGTATTAGGGGTTGTCTGAGAGAAGATCCCACTCTCCAAGCATAGAGAGGCAGCAACAACACTTTCAAAAATTACATTTTTTGACTATGACTCCCAGAATCCCCCAGCCAGCAGGGCTGGATTAATTGTTAAGTGTGCTAACCAGATTTACCACAGACAATATGGTGCAAAACTGCAAATGGTGCAGCTGAACCAGATTCCACCAAAAAAAGGGTTGGATCTTTGCAATTAAAAAAATTAGCACAAAACTTTTCAAACAAAAATAAAATGGAAATATACAAAAATAAACACTATAGTGGGCCCTTGGTATCCACTAGGGCTTGGTTCCAGGACCCCATGTGGATACCAAAATCTGTGGATGCTCAAGTCCCAACACAATGGCAGAGTGAAATGGTATACCTTATACAAAATGGCAAAAACAAGTTTTGCTTTTGGAATTTATATTATTTTCGAATATTTTCAAGCTGTGGTTGAATCTGTGGATAAAGAATCTGTGGATACAGAGGGCCGACTGTATTTTCTATCTTACTGTATTTTCCATCTTACTGTAAACTTTGGTTCATTTTGAAAAATAAAATTGTATTTTATGGTTTATTATTGTTTATATGGGGGCACTAAAATCTTTTAAATGCTTAAGGCCTCTAAAGGTCTTAATCCAGCCCTGCCAGCCAGCATGGCCAAGCTCTACAGTAGATATCACTATTCCCCTGAGTTCAGAGACTACAGTCATCCCTCCCTGTTTGTGGACTTGGAGTCTGCGGTCTTGCTCTTCACAGGAGGTACAAGCAGGGAGGGAGAAAATGGCACCGCGCACCCATGCGCAACTCCAGACACGCACCATGGGCACGCAAGGCTTTATTTTCAATGAGGCTCGAATATTTGCAAGTTGCCATTTTCGCAGGGGTGTGTGTGTCTGGAACGGATCCCCCACAAATTGGGAGGAGCTGCTGTAGATGGTTAACATTTTAGACTGTAACTCTCAGAATTCTTCGGCACAGATTCTGGGATGTATGATTTTTTTAAAAAAAATAACTGTTGAATGATCTTTACACTGAAAGCAACAACATATCACTGACACAATTCAGCAGCGTGGAGAGAATTAGTACACAAATGTTTTAAAACACTCCAAAGAAAGGAGGGAGGAAGGCTGGGTGCTAAGTGAGCAGGAGCTAGCCAATGTTTTGCATATCTACAGTAGGATGATCTGCCTGGCAGACAGAACTTGTGAGTTTATATTAAAGGCAATAAACCTCCTCCCACTCAAGAAATGTAGACCACTTTCTCAGGGCCTTGCTGGCTCATGTATAAACATTGGTTGAGATGTGTAAAGGCAAAACCTTCAGAACAGAGCAAATAGGTGCCATTCCCTTGTTGGCAGATCCCATGCAGTTGCAGAGATGGAGGTAAGAATCTCAGGGCAGGACAGCATCATACTGATAAAGTGAGAAATACTGTCTTGGTCAGGGCCAGCCCTACCATTAGGCACAGTGGGGGAAGTGGCACAGGCAACAGACTATGGAGTTTATCACACGGGATGGATCCCATGTAGAAACTGGATTTAAAGAAAAAACAACCTGCAAAAGCATATTGTTTTTCATGCAACATTCAGGGTTAACTCAAACAGAAAGTAGAAACAACCCAGAAAAGTGGGTTGTTTTTCACATGACACTGGCGTCAAGGAGAAATAACATGACATTAATCCAAATGGAAAGTCACCAAAATCTGCTCCTTTTTACTTTCAAGAACTTCCGAAAGTAAAAAGGAGCGGGTTTCAGTGACTTTCTGTTTGAGTCTACTTTACTCAAACACATCTGAAAAACAACCTGCTTTTGGGCAGGGGGTTGGATTTTAAAATCCTGTTACTGCATGGGATTTAAGCAATTTGTCTCCGTGTGATAAGGTCCTCTGGAAAGAAGCAGTGGCAATCTTGTGTGTTTCCCTCTCACCGTTTTTCTCTTCTCTTGGAGGAGAAGGTGTGTGTGCCCCATAGCCTACCTTGCACCTTTACTCGAAGGAACAAGCCACCTTGGGATGACCCTGCCCTTTAACTATGGTGGTCAACCTTTTACGGCTATAGGGCCATGTTGGTGCCTGGGGGATCTATTATCGGTAGTTATTGTTGCTTTATCCTACAACTACCCAGGTAGCTGTAATCATAGGAGCTCCATTTTATACCTGTTCTTTTATACAGCAAGCTTACTATTCCCTGCATTAACCAAATTATAACAATGTTGTGTTGTTTGGTTCCAAAGGGGAACTGGATCCGTGTATTGCAATAAAAAGAATCAAGAATCTTGTTGCAGTTTAATAATTGTGTAGCTTACACCATTTTGTCATGGCATAAGAGCCAGCATGGTGTAGTGGTTTGAGCATTGGACTACGACTCTGGAGGCCAAGGTTTGATTCTCAGCTCAGCCATGAAACTCACTGGGGGACCTTGGACAAGTCACACTGTCTCAACCTCAGGGGTGGCAATGGCAACTCTCTTATGAACAAATTTGCCAAGAAAACCCCATGATAGTTTCACCTTAGGGTCACCATAAGTTGGGAACAACTTGAAGTCAAACAACAACAGAAATGGAAAGAATATTCATCAGTATTCATTTTCTGGCTTAAAAATGAGTTTCCCAGCACTTAGAAGAGTCAGTTGGGAAGAGTAACAGTGGTGAGAAATTTGTACAGTTTTTACCCAATATATACAAGTGCTTTGGAAAATTATTTTCAGCAGCAATATGTGTGATTTTTTTTTATGAAAATCATGCTTTTTTGGTGCAAAACCATATTTTTGCTCACAAAGTTTCCAGACAGCCATATGGGGAGGGGTTGTTGGGCATGTGGAGGTGGTTATTGCTATACTTTGTGGACCCCCCCCCTAAAAAAAGAGCACTGAAATTCACTATCTGGAAATAGTGTTTTGTATAGTGAAAATGTGTTTTCAAGGAAAAATAAGTTTTTGTATGAAACCTCACTGTTTGATGTGTGCTATACTAATAGTAATACTAATACTAATACTAATACATTTTGACAAAAACAAACAAAAACATCTTACAATAGCCCTTCCATGTGGCTATTTTGACACAGTGTATCTTTTGTGGGAAAGCAAGGGTTTTCTGCATTAAAAATCATGATTTTTTAATTTTAAAAAACACATGCTTTTCTGCACAAAATAATTTCCCAGATTACTACTCGGGAAGAACTACACAAGAATGTTCATTTTCTCTCACAATAGGGAGAAAATTGTGGTAATTATTTATCCTCACATGCAAGAATGAAATAGTCCAAGTGTCAAAAGATTATTTTGTCAAAAGTCAAAAGAAATAGTACTAAATGTAAAAAGATTCTTGATTGTTTTTTATTTGATTTTTAAACTTGATTTCCCCTTTTCTATATGCTGGCTTTGAAATAAACTCTCAGAGGAATTTGATCTGACTTTCCTTTAATTTGAGCACACTGAAAAATAACATTTACAATTTGCATTACCCTTAATGCATTGGTGTTTCTTTCCACAGTTCTGACCTATCTACAACTCCCTTCCATTGTGATCTCTTTGGTGACAGCAATTCAGAGAGAAAAGTGGGATATAAATCATCATCATCATCATCATCATCATCATCATCTCCACCTTGCTAAAAACAGACATTAAAAATAGCATGCCATTCATATTTCATCTTGATTCTCCATTTGTTAAATATAGACATTTTCTCAGGCTCAGTAAGGATGGCTGTTTCTATGGAATTACTCCCTTCCTTTTTTCCATTTCTATGCCATTAACCAGAGCCTTGTTTTGGCAGCTTGGTTTACATAATATGGAGGAGTACAGATTTGATAAACCTTCCAAAAGAGAAAAAGAGAGAGAGAGAGAGGTCATTGTTGCTCATGGGAAGTAGAGCTTGGCAATTGGTTCCTGCCGAAAAGCTACTCAGCTCTAGATAGTTACGAATAAGGCTCTCTGTGGTTGCAAAATGCATTTGTGAGAGTCACAGGGACCACAAAGAAGAAGCACCTGTTCTTTAGTAACTTTGCTTTGTGCATGGAGTGGCTTGAAAAACAGACTTTTGGGGGAAGTTACTTCTTTGGAGGACAACTCTCTGAACCTCCACCACCACTGGCCATGGTGGCAAGAGGATTTTGGCAGCTGTAGGACAAGAATGTAAATTTCTCGAAGCTCATATTAAAACAGGAGTCACCTCTAAAGCCTCTTATTTTTGACTTTGCAAGGAAAAAGATTTGACAGCCTTTTC